AGATGAATCTGTCTTTGCCTCTTTTATAGGTGATTCCTCAAAATAAACCTAATATTCCTTAAAGTGCATGATTAGCAGAGGTGGTCAGTACTTAAAGTAACCTCATTTGAATCTTACATTTTTCCAGATGCAGGTCATGGCCCCATCAGCAGTGATGGTTGGTCCATCACCATATTGATTCAAGCTACTCACAACATTGATTAATATTTATTAATTTTCAAATGCTTTAAATAAGTACTAGCACAGTTCATTTATTGGCCTTTCCCAGGATCTTCTAATTGTTATTGATAAATTATGTCCCAACACAGATTCAACATGGCACAAAAGATGAATTTGTAGACTCTCTCCTAATAAAGATTCATGATCATCATCCCTTGTATTGTTCTAGCTGTGAATTTCTACATTATTTTCCCCCAAACAGGAAACTATTTGATGAAAGAAATTAGTAGTTGAACAGGGTTGAGAAGAGAGTACTACACATTTTAAGTGGAAAAGGTATTTAATGAAATTACAGAGAAATTAGTCAACTTTATCTTATCTAGGAAAACACTAGAAATTCTGCAGTGAAAAAAACCTCAAATTCAGATATCTTCAGGCCACAGATAGTACAGATATCATTGGGGAGATCTATGGTGTGGAAACTCAACCATAATTGGGTTTGAAGTTTACTACACTACACAGATTCCATGCCTATAATTTTCAACCTACTCAAAAGCCCATGGCAGGGGTATCATAAAATTTAGAGGGAACTTAATTCTGTAATTGAGATAAATTGACATAACACTGAACAATCTTCTAAATATATATGTTAATATTTTAGGTAATCAACATTGCCAACATTAATTAGAGATGTCTCTCTTTTCCAGTAAACTATGATGAATGTAGAGATTTGTTAATGTACAAGGTACAGGGAATAATGAGAGTGTGCTCAACATTAAACAAGACATTTACACCATCCCTCAAAAGTTCAAGGAACATGTGAATAAAAGGGCACAAAGATTCTAAGAGCAAGACTGTAGTGATCATGGCTATGAAATATTTTCTTCTGGCTTATTCAGAGCCATTATAATCACAAACTATCAACTTCTAAAAATGTCTGCACTGAGTCTATCAAGAATGGGCCATCATCATCCAGGCATGAATGGAATAAGCTCTTGGGGAACTCATCTCTGAACTATTTCATCTGATTGATTCAGAAAAATAATGGGAGTCAGTGATTTCAGGTGTATACCCACAAGTGACTAAACTAGGTTCCAAAAGACAGTACCAATCTGAGTGTTGCACATATGCCCTTTGTTAAACTACATGTACCATTCATCAAAACTAAAACTTGAGAATCTGGGAGAAAGACAGGCAAGTATGAAGTGTTATTGGTAGAGTTGGGGTGTGAGAAAACATTATGGAGATAGACTATCCAGTATGTTTTATATACATGTAAGAAATTGTCGAAATTAAATTTTAAAAAATTATAAAAAATCATTTCCCCTTATAATTTTCATAAAGTAATAATATTTCATACTGAAAATTGCTTTTCTTTCCTATTATGATTTGGACCTCATACATTTTCCCAAATCTCACTTTAATGGAAACCTGGTTTCTCATTGCTGGAGCTATTGGGAGAGGGGGTAAAGTCCAGACGTTGCTAGCTTGGTTGAAATAAGTCAGATCATTGGGGCTCTGCATTTGAAGGGGTAGTGGGA